GACAGAGACAAGATGTTCAAGAGATGGGACACAGAAACAAGGGATCACAATTGGAAGTCGAAGACTCAGATGAGTCAAAGGGATGTTACGAAGTATTTCTTCAGTCATAGAGTTGTCAGAAAGTGGAATAGTCTAGCAAGTGATGTAGTGAAGGCAGGAGCCATACATAACTTTAAGACGAGGTATGATGAAGATCATGGAACAGGAAGAGAGAGGACCTAGTAGCAGTCACTGAAGAGGCGGGGCCAGCTGAGTCTCAACCCCTGCAACCACAAACAGGTGAGTACACACACACACACACACACACACACACACACAACTACCTGAGGTATGGAAGACAGCAAATGTAGTCCCAGTTTTTAAAAAAGGAGACAGACACGAAGCATTAAACTACAGACCAGTGTCACTGACATGTACAGTATGCAAAGTCATGGAGAAGATTATCAGAAGAGTGGTGGAGCACCTAGAAAGGAATGAGCTTATCAACGACAACCAGCACGGTTTCAGGGATGGGAAATCCTGTGTCACAAACCTACTGGATTTCTATGACAGGGTGAGAGCAGTAAGACATGAGAGAAAGGGGTGGGTAGACTGCGTTTTCTTGGAATGTAAAGCTTCTGACACAGTTCCACATAAGAGATTAGTGCATAAGCTGGAGGACTAGGCAGGTATAACATGGAAGGCAATGCAATGAATGAAGGGAATACCTGTCGGGAAGACAGTCATGGTACGAGACGAAGTGTCAGAGTGGGCGCCTGTGACGCGCGGGGTTCCACGAGTTTCAGTCCAAGGACCGGTGCTGTTTCTGGTATATGTGAACGACATGACGTAAGAAATAGACTCAGAAGTGTCCCTGTTTGCAAAAGTGAAGCTGATGAAAAAAATTCAATCAGACGAGAACCAGTCAGAACTATAAAGGAATCTGGACAGGCTGCAGGCCTGGTCCAGAAACTGGCTCCTGGAGTTCAACCCCACCAAGTGCGAAGTCACGAAGATTGGGGAAGGGCAAAGAAGACCGCAGACGGAGTACAGTCTAGGGGGCTAATTTCTGCTCCCCTAGACTCTACTCCGTCAAGAAAAGGATCTTGGGGTGAGTATAACACCAGGCACATCTACTGAGGCGCACATAACCACATAACTGCTGCAGCATACGGGTGCCTAGCAAACCTAAGAATAGCATTCCGACATCTCAATAAGGAATCGTTCAGGACCCTGTACACTGTGTATGTTAGGCCTGTATTGGAGTATACAGCACCATTTTGGAACATACACCTAGCCAAGCACGTACGAAAATTAGGGAAAGTGCAAAGGCTTGCAACAAGACTAGTCCCGGAGCTAAGGGGCATGTCCTACGAGATGAGGTTAAGGGAAATCGACCTGACGATACTGGAGGACAGGAGAGATAGGGGGGATATGATATGATAACGACATATAAAATACTGAGAGGAATTAACAAGGTGGACAGAGACAGGATGTTCCAGAGGTGGAACACAGCAACATGGGGTCACAATTGAAAGTTGAAGACTCAGACGAATCACAGGGATGTTAGGAAGTATTTCTTCAGTCACAGAGTTTTCAGAAAGTGAAATAGTCTGGGAAGTGATGTAGCGGAGGTAGGATCCATACATAGCTTTAAGAAGAGGTATGAAAAAGCTCATGGAGCAGGAAGTGACCTAGTAGCGACCAGTGAAGAGGCGGGGCCAAGAGCTGTGACTCGACCCCTGCAACCACAACTAAGTAGGTGAATACACACACACACATACACAGCAATGTTCTTTCTCTTGGAGTTGCTACAACAGCCTGCCACATAATTTTACAGGTAACGCAAACGAATCCTGGTCATCGATGTATTTTCTCATTTTTCTTACCATAAATACATGCTTCGTCTAATACTACACTATTGTAATGTTTTACAGATTCATTACTGTTTAACATATTTCATTCATTAAACTCATCCAGAGTTCTGTATTTTCCTTAAGATCTGCTGCAACGTTTCTCCAAATCTGTAGTCTGGTGTATATTTGTCTTACGGTTCTACGTATTCCGACTGAGTCGATTCTTGCTTCTTTTACAAACTCAAAGGCTATTTAAAAACCATACCACGGGCGGAGGTAGAACCCGCGATCAGAGTCTCTCAAAACTCCAGACCGTCGCGTTAGCCACTGGGCCAGCTAGCCACAATAAGATTCATCCAACTAGGTATATTTATACACCACAGGAAGGTTAACATAGGCACCACTGTGACCACAAATGCAAGTTTTTACAGACGAATCTCCAGATAGCGTGGCAGTGACGAACTCTAGCTCAAGTCCCCTCAAAGCCGTCAACATAACTCGCGAAATCGTAATGACACGATTGCAAAAAAACGATACCCGCCCGTGGTATGGTTTGTTTGCAATCGTGTCACACGATTTCGTGAGTCAATGGCTATTATAAGGGCAACTATTATACTCTAGGTTGATGATAAGCAATCCTGGACTACAATATATACGAGTTTTGTAGATGTTAGATGAACCATTGAGTTTCTAATAACAGTTACATGTGATCCAGCAACACCATTTTTCAGGCTCCAGTGAATTAAGGTGAATATCTACAAACATACCTGTAGGTCCATAACCAGACCTCGCCCAGGAATTGAAGAATAATATAATTCAGAGGAAAAAACTGTTGCCCCACTAGGAACTAGTAAGGAAAGGGAGAGAAAGAGGAAAAAGAAATTGGAAATACTAGGGGTGTGAGAAGGAGTGATAAAACATGAGTCGCCAGGAGAGGAGGGAGGGGAGGGGAGAGAGACTGGCTCCTGATACTGCTCTAAATTGCAAGTCTCTCCAATCCCAAGGTCCATCCTGTCCCTCGCCAGAGCCCTTAACAACTGATAAATGACACTCAATTCTACGGGAAGAACACGGATGGAGTCTCTGTGGGGACGGGGACTTTAAGCTAGGACCACGTCCCTCAACACTCACATTTAACGTTAACTACGTCATGTGTTTCACTCAGTGGCTCCACTTTCAATTTTAAGTTGAAGCCTTTTTAGCCATTTCTCAGAGAGAGAGAGAGAGAGTGTGAGAAGCTAGTGTTTTAGTTCAGGATAAAGACAGTGTTCCTCTCTACAAGTAATATTAGCAAGAACACAACAATGTGTGTGGACACACGCACCTGCCTCTGACACAACACCAATACTCTTACATTTATTAATCAAAGACACTTTAGATACAAGCACGGTATAATACACACGAACACCTATGATCTGGCACCTATTTTATAAACGCCAAGAATAAAATTATCCCACTACACGATGATCAAACAAGATGCAGTAACACGATTACTTGATCGACAGTGTGATAAATTAAAATAGTAGTTAAAAAAAATAATAGCGTGACATGATGAACACAGGGAATCTAATAATTTCCATAATATTTAAGTTTGGAAGACTATTCAGTACGTAATTAAAAACTATAGACATATCTCTCGTAATTAGAAGATATAGACCTATCTCCCATTTTGCAAAACAGAAATGGACGATAGCTCCAGGCCCTTGAAGTGATCTGCGCAAAAGAGGAAGTGCAAGTGGGTCTGCCTGGAGGAGTGGTGGAGGAATATGAACTAGACAAGAGTTAAAAGTGGTGCAATGTGAGGCAAGATAAACAGTGTGGGTGTGAGGTACTCACCAGTGACGGCTGCTGCACCACGATGCCGGTCTTAGAGGGGCACACCACACACTAGTCAAGAGGTAATACACACACACACACACACACACACACACACACACACACACACACACACACACACACACCGCGTGGAATAGACAAGGTGGACAGAGACAGGATGTTCCAGAGATGGAACACAGAAACAAGGGATCACAATTGTGAAGACTCAGATGAGTCAAAGGGATGTTAGCAAGTATTTCTTGAGCCACAGAGTTGTTAGGAAGTGGAATAGTCTGGCAAGTGAAGTAGTGGAGGCAGGAACCATACATAGTTTTAAGACGAGGTATGATAAAGCTCATGGAGCAGGGAGTGGGAGGACCCAGTAGCGGTCAGTGAAAGGCGGGGCCAGGAGATGGTCTCGACCCCTGCAACCACAATTAGGTTGAGTACACACACACACACACACACACACACAACACACACACACACACACACACACAGAGCCACACCACTGCACACCACAAATAGGGTGAGTACAACACCAAGGAACCTCTCCTAAGCATTTTTACTAAATTTACTTCAAATCATATCAGCAAATAGAATCGCTAACCCACTAAAGAAAATTCAGGCCTTCCAGTGACCTATCCAATGGATATCGGACATTTTAACCAACACCTAGCAGCACGGTAAAAGAATAGAAAGTAAAGGTTGCACAGACTACCCGAGCTAAGAGTTGTCCTAGAGTGAGGGTTTAAATAATCAACCCAGTAATAAAGAGGATAGGATAGTCGCTCGATACTCCGAGGATTATGACAGGGGCGTAAGCGGAGCTTCTGAGTTGGACCAGTCAGGGGACCAGTTGGAAGTGAAGCCGATGATCACAGTGTTGGAAATTTCTCCCACACGCAGTAATAAGTGGATTGTTCAGGAGCTGACCACAACTTTACAGAGCTGAAAACGCCAAGACACCTAGTAGGATATGAAATACATTGTGCTCGGACGACCAAACTAAACTGGTGAAAAAACAGTAACACACACCCGCGGCCATCAAGCCAAGGTGATTGACCCCTCACCCGCTGAGCGAGAACATCGAGATTTACCCCCTACAAGTCCATTTTTTATGATATTTTTCATCATATACATTATCATCATATGGAATCGCTAAACCCATAAAGATTATACAGCGCCTTCCATCATACACTATCACAAAACATCAGACACTATCACAAAGCATATCAGACACTATCACAAAGCATATCAGACGGGAATACAGAATATAAAACAGGCCACGACCACCCCAAGAAGTGTGCCTGGTGTGTGGTACCATAATAACTAGTTATAAAAGGATATCGATAGTCTCCTCGAGGTCCTCCAGGTCCCACTCTATGGACCTGAGGGCGTTACGGAGCTCTGTGTTGGTCCAGTCGAGTTGCTCCTTGCTAGTGACGATGGTTCCTTCCTCCTGCAGCTCTCCCCACCGCTGGTATAACCCCCGCGTCTTGTTCAGAGCCTTGCACACCTCACTGAAACGCCAAACACACTAGTTAATATTTAACATACATTGTGCTGGAAACAAATATTATTGTACTTGTAAGAAACAGTAAACCCCTGCGTGCCATTCAGCCAAGGTGTGACAGGCTCGATCCTCTGTTCGCTGACCGCGAGACATCAGATTTTGCCCTACAGCCCGAGTTTATTGAGTAGCGCCCAATAAACTCGGGGGAACATGCCGTCATAAAATAGGTACTTTACAACCCAAATAGTCGACACGCCATTGGCGATGTTAACTCCATCCTGGAATGTTTCATTAAGAGCCTGCGTATCTACAAGTATAACTACCTTTACAAATGACCATTATCAAATTGCAGCAAATATTGCATAATTTTGTAAACTACTATCAACATTTCTTGCCATGAACAAATGTTTCATAAAAGGCAAAAATTATTATAATACTACCCAGATTCACTTCCCTCGCTAAACTGATCTAGATTCTCAGTTTGAATTTTCTTTGTAATGGGTTGTAGCTCTTCTCCAGACCTACTGATTACGTTTACTTGCTGTACTCCTATTTCTACAAATTCATTTGCTCCCTCATTCCCTGCGATGTTGACATGAGATGGTGGTATAAACCTTGGTAATAAATACCGACAAGTTGGTTTAGAAAGACACGTAAGCAAACACTATGACATATTTATTAGAAAACGTTTCGGTCCTGGGACCGAAACGTGTCTTTCTAAATCAACATGAGATGGTATCCACACAAACTCCATTAATTTTTGCCATTTCATAACAGCTTTGCATTTTTCTATTTCCTCTATAATACTGTCCGTGATAAATCTACGGTTTCAACTGAGCAAAGCTAACACAGCATCCGAAAAAAAAAACCGGGTTTTTGCGACAAACTTCACTGACCACTTTATGGGGAATTAATTCAGTCTAAGTTGATGATACCAATTCTTGAAGCGTGCAAACTTTTAAAGATGTCTGACACTTGGTTTTTAACTACAGTCACCTGGAGGCTACGAAGCTAATTAAAACATTAAATCCTCCACAAAGACGCATTAATGTTTAAAGTTTGAAGGTGAATTATAAAATAGCATGGAGAAATGCTAAAAAAAAAAAAAAAAAATTCGAACATATATTAGGCCAAAATTGAATTGAGGCAGTGGTGTGGTACTCTCACCTACAAAAAAAAAAAAAAACACATGGTAAGTTAGGCTAGGTCCTAAGGTCTATAAAATGGTTACCAAGAATTAGAAAAAACAAATATGAAGTACGATAAAAGGCTGAAAGCACTAAAGATGCGCACTCTGGCTGATAGGAAGAAAGAAGAGACATAATAATCAAATATAAAGCCATACAAGTTACGAAAGACAGAAATACGGAGCAGAACAGATACCAGAAAATATGTCTTCGCAGAACATTAGATCCATGAAATAAATTAAGAGACGTAATATATCCTATAACTATTGGAGAATAAAAATTTGTATTAACAAGTCATCAATTGTCTGTGACCTGTTTCGGGCGTTTTCCCCACTTCCGCGGCCCGGACCTGGGCCAGGTTTCCCTGTTGATTTCCTGGTCGACCCGGCTGTTGCTCCAGGAGGCCTGCTGGCTCACGTATCCATCCAGTCTGGTTGAACTGGCATATAGTTTCCAATAGGTTCCAGCAATATTTCCGATATCTGCTGGCAGTAGGCTGAATAGTCGGGGCTCACGGATGTTGACACGAGAGTCCTCATAAGTATGGTACCTATGGCTCCTCTGTTTGTCACTTAGTTTACAATTCCTCCCATATCTTCAATATGTTATGGTAGTGGGCATATTTGGGACAAGGCCCTCTATTTTCTCGTGTGTATCTTGTAACCTATCCCGGTTTTCTGAAGAGGTCCCAGTAGTTCAAATGTATAATTTCTGCTATCTCAAACCATACCACGGGCGGGGATAGAACCCACGATCAGAGAGCCTCAAAAGTTCTGCTATCTCAACTGCTCTGAACGGTGCTATCAATAATAAGCAGTAGTACCCCAAACGAGAGAACAAGTAATTTGATTTATCTGTCCTTTCATTTTCCTGGCCTTTGCAGCATTTGCTTCATCGTTCTTTCAAAGAGAGGTTACAAGACAATTATATCTACGTCTTTTACATGTTCTTTTCGTTCTATGGGGTGACCCTCCTGCTTTACATGCTATTTCCTTTTTGAATTCTCATTTTCTCTGTATATGAGCAACTGGAAAATGTCCCCATTAAACATGCTATTTTCCAATGCCCACTGGAAGACCTTGTTTATATCCTCTTTCAGTTTCTTTATTTTTTTTTTTTTTTGGTGTCTCTACAGAGGTGACTTGCATACTAATTTTTGGGTCATCCGCAAAGGATGATACGAAGCTGTGACTTGTGTTTTTACCAATTTCCGTCATGAAAATGAAAAACCAGGTACCATTTTTTTTACATTCTACGACGAGATTTTACAATGTGTACTACTTTAGTTTGTGTTCCATTTGTTACAAAATTGTAAATTGATTTCCCTAATTTTCTGTTATATCTAATGATCGCATTTGTAAAATGCCTTAGGGAAGACATTTATGTCTACATTGTGGGATTCTTCCAAAGCCTCAGTAATCTTATTATAGTGCTCTATTAGTTGTGACAAGCATGATCTCCCTGCTTTAACCCCATGCTAGTCTGTGTTGTACAGGTCACGTTTATCCCATAAAATTTATCACCGAGTCTCACCGATTTTTACTATGTGATGCGAAAGCCACTGGCCTGTATTTTTTTTTTTTTTTTTGCCAGGGCTTGAGTGTCGCTTTAGTGCAGAGCTGTCTGCACTTTTTTGGACCTCTAAGATTTCACCTAGATCTACGCTCTTCCTCCACAGTATGCTGAATGATTGTGATTGTTTGCATTTCTTAACTGAGTTCCACGAGTCTGGTCCCACTGCTGCATGTATGGGCATTTCATATATCATGTCAGATATGATACGACGGGTGGGCAGGTATTAAAAAAAATCAGGATATTCCACTTTCTTGTTTACTGGATCACTGAACATTAATTCAAACTGGTCTATCAAGATTTAGTTCATTTCTTTTTCGTCAAAGGTGTACGAACCTCCTGGCTGCAGTGGACCAATTCTAGGGGCTGTTCTTAATATGGATTTTTTTGTATGTGTAGACATATTTTTGTTTTTCATTGAAAGACTTCTTATGCTCTTCAGTCTGGTACGACAGAAGAGCATAATCTCTTGTTGCAGGTTATCTTTCCTTCTTCATGATATATTCTCAATTTTAAGCAGTTCTGAAACCCTCTTTCTGTACAATCTTCATACTTTTTCAATGGCATATATTTTTTTTTTTTGCCCGAGCTGAACATAATTTTATACAAATCCTGTACGCTTCTGTATCCATCCATTCCAAGCACTGACGTGGGTTTAGGAAAAATTTCCCTGGGAACGTCTGATAGTTCTTTATCTCATTCCAATCAATTCTCGGGTTGAAGTTAAGATTACTGAACAGCCCTTAGCGTTGACTATTTCCAGGGGCCTCTACACATGTTCCTATGCGTGCTGTGGCTCCAGTATATTGCATCTGAAATCGTTATGTCTCTAATCAGTTTATCATTATTCACGAAGATCAGGTCTAGAAAGTTTTCGTCCCTGGGCTGTTAGCTGCTGGTTTAGAACAATTTTTTCAGTTATTACAAGGAAGCTAAAACCAGGAGTACTTTACCAGAGAGAACCAACCCATGCCAATAGTTGCATGAGCCTTTCCTTAGTTACAGTACACCAGCAATAAAAATTTACGGTGATCAGATGAGGCGTTCTCATTATAAACTAAAACCTCAGAGGAATTGAAAACAAAAATGTTAGGCAACCACTTCAAGGTACCCCTTCAGGGATACTTGATATCCTGTCTGACCAGTTGACCCTCCATCAACACATTCTCGCACCATAACTGATACACGTGCAGATTTTAAAGTTTTCTGGCTACGCTCGGCCACTGCCTTGCAAGACGTATGCGACTTTATAATGTGCTTATTTGTAGTTAATACTTGTTATTGGTTTAGTAACCCAACCCAACCTAAAAAATTGACGATGGGAACCTAGTAAGCCTTGGTAAAATGAGAATAGGATGTATGTAGAAAACATAACCTGCCCGACCAGTTGAACCCGCCATTGGTGAAAAACAAGGGAGGCGCATTCCACTGCCGTGCTGAGCGCTCTACCTTGGCTACCAAGCACTCATTATACTGCCTCTGAACAAGCACACACTACCACAGCTACAATCATCCCCACTATTCACACGTTAAACAGGAAGAAACTTTAATTTTACGAGGTTTCACCCACAGTGCGGCTTTATCAAGTAGTCAATAAAGCTTTATGTGGAACGTCGTAAAATATTGCCTTACCTGCGACTTGCTTCGAGAGTTTTCCTACTCTAGCTCCATAGCCTGGGGTCCAGGCCTTCCTATTGATTGCCCAGTCAACTAGACCGTAGCTACTAGAGGCTCGCCGATTCGCATGTCCTTCACAGCCTGGTTGATCTGGTACACCGCGGCAGGGAGTGATCAAATTTCCACGTGAAAAACTTCTAAACCTATTCTTGCAATATTTCTGATATCTGCTAGCAGCAGGGTGGAGAGTCTAGGTCCACTGATGTTGGCGTAGCGTTTTCTTTTCGTGTCCGTGGCTTCCCTTGTTTATTGGGTCTACATTACACTTCCATCTCTCTCACTCCGGTACGGGTTAAGTTTGTAATGTCTTTTAATTACCATTTGTCAATTTGCGTCGTCTCCCCCCCTTACACAATATTATCTCTACATTCAACTCATTCTCATGCCAACAGTGATACGTATAATTTGAACGTATTTTGGAACTGCTTAAATGAGTTACCAGAAGTGTCGCGGCCAATCTTTAATTGTGTGTGTGTGTGTACTCACCTAGTTGTACTCACCTAGTTGAGGTTGCGGGGGTCGAGTCCGAGCTCCTGGCCCCGCCTCTTCACTGATCGCTACTAGGTCACTCTCCCCGAGCCGTGAGCTTTATCATACCTCTGCTTAAAGCTATGTATGGATCCTGCCTCCACTACATCACTTCCCAAACTATTCCACTTACTGACTACTCTGTGGCTGAAGAAATACTTCCTAACATCCCTGTGATTCATCTGTGTCTTCAGCTTCCAACTGTGTCCCCTTGTTACTGTGTCCAATCTCTGGAACATCCTGTCTTTGTCCACCTTGTCAATTCCTCTCAGTATTTTGTATGTCGTTATCATGTCCCCCCTATCTCTCCTGTCCTCCAGTGTCGTCAGGTTGATTTCCCTTAACCTCTCCTCGTAGGACATACCTCTTAGCTCTGGGACTAGTCTTGTTGCAAACCTTTGCACTTTCTCTAGTTTCTTCACGTGCTTGGCTAGGTGTGGGTTCCAAACTGGTGCCGCATACTCCAATATGGGCCTAACATACACGGTGTACAGGGTCCTGAATGATTCCTTATTAAGATGTCGGAATGCTGTTCTGAGGTTTGCTAGGCGCCCATATGCTGCAGCAGTTATTTGGTTGATGTGCGCTTCAGGAGATGTGCCTGGTGAGTGAGGTTTGTAGTCTCTGACCCCCTAGACTGTACTCCGTCTGCGGCCTTCTTTGCCCTTCCCCAATCTTCATGACTTTGCACTTGGTGGGATTGAACTCCAGGAGCCAATTGCTGGACCAGGTCTGCAGCCTGTCCAGATCCCTTTGTAGTTCTGCCTGGTCTTCGATCGAGTGTATTCTTCTCATCAACTTCACGTCATCTGCAAACAGGGACACCTCAGAGTCTATTCCTTCCGTCATGTCGTTCACAAATACCAGAAACAGCACTGGTCCTAGGACTGACCCCTGCGGGACCCCGCTGTCACAGGTGCCCACTCTGACACCTCGCCACGTACCATGACTCGCTGCTGTCTTCTTCTGACAAGTGTGTGTGGGTGTGTGTGTGTGTGTGTGTGTGTGTGTGTGTGTGTGTGTGTGTGTAGTGTGTGTGTGTGTGTGTGTGTGTGGGGTGTGTTGTGTGTGTGTTGTGGTGTGGTGTGTGTGTGTGTGTGTGTGTGTGTGTGTGTGTGTGTGTGTGTGTGTGTGTGTGTGTGTGTGTGTGTGTGTGTTTTTAAATATACATTTATATATACTTTTATAACATAATATAAAATAGGGGTAATAACATTTTTAAATTTATTAAAAAAATGACTTTCGTAATCGCGTAAAACAGCGTAGCAAAATGAGAACATGTTGCTAGAATGCATACACATCCTCTGTAATATCTCCACTTCAAGCAAGATTCACTCAACTAATCCACTCCAAGACACCTCAACGATATTCTCATTGTCCTATTGAAGTCTCCCTACTCGGCCTGACAGGTTTCAATATGTGACCCATCCTCCAGGATGGAATATGACAGGGAAACAGATTTTGTTCCTATTGTTTAACTGTCATTAGAATAGGGTAGCAGCATACTGCCGATGTATACAATTTTACTAAATAACAAAACATGACCGCTTTTCCCACTTCACTACACAACTCAATTTTTGGTTGAGTCGTATTGATTGTTCGAGGGTCACTGACCGTGTTTCACCAGAATACTAAGCGCATGAATAATTTAAAACTTTAAAATATGAATTTAAATGAATCTCTCAACGTACTTATAAAGAGGTACACAAAAAATGATCACAAGAAACAGGTGATATCGTAATATCCCATACAACTACAGTGAAAAGTAGCAATACTCCCATCGCTTTCGTGGTCTTTCACATTATCAAGGAATATCAAAATTAATAAAGGAACCAATGTCATTCCTATTTGAGAACAAGTAACTCCCATCTTCTCTTCCGACCTATCCCCGCACCATGAGTGATACGTCTGCAAATTTGAACGTTTCCAGGTTACATTCAGTCACCTTGTTGACAGAAGTGTAGCGCCATTTTTTCTTAAATTGTTTATTTAAGGTTAAACAACATTTTACAATGTTATAATAACCTTATCCCATTCAACCTCACCTAAAGTTAAAAGAAAATAGCATTTATAGTCATTAGAAACAAACTAATTCTGGGAACAAAATGAACGCAGTAAAAAAAAAAAAGACAAAAATAACGCTAAATCTGTCTGGGTCATGTGGCAGTGTTGTAAAAATTATAGACCAGGCTTTCAGAATGTGCTCCCCTATACTCAGCAGAACTCTACAACTGTGCTGTACAGTATATCGTACCAGCCACACCGGCAGATGGACTCTTCAAACCTTGATATGAATTAAACATTTAATTCGCTTGTTATGTTCGCCATGCAACTTATCCCCATACCATACATAAACAATGTGTTGTTTCCAACTAAGTGAGTGGTTACAGTCTCTACCTCACTGCCAGACTTTACCGTACTGTATACGTAATTTGCTTACTGATGGTTAACTGGGCGTATGGTGGTTTATTTAGGCTAAAGTAACCTACGCTAACTTTAAACAACTAAGACTTAATTGATGCACCTTAATAAATAAGAAAATGCCCAGTGTAATATGAGGATGCAATGATCCACGAGACCCACTAAGCTTAATTAACAAAGATGCTCACAGGGTCAATGACTGTAGCAACATCGCAATTTTTTACATTTTTGAACTTAACGGTTAACAGCTGTTATTCTACATCAGCTCATTTTGAAGTCCATCCCTAAGGAGTTTTACATACACAGAGCGAAACGTTCTCTCTTAGATTTGCTATGCAGCTTGTCATATCTTCACTATTATCGGACGTGCAACTTGTGATTCTAATGTATACTAACCACCCCCAGAATAAAACCCACAACAGTCGTCTAACACCCATTTACTGCTACGTGAACAAGAGCAACAGGAACAGGGAAAATTTACCTAACGTCTGTACCAGCTCAGATCATACCCAGGTCTTTCGGTTGTAATCCCAAGATATTATCACTGTTACGAGCACTTGTGCTACATGGTATTAACATATTTACTACAACCAAGGAAAAAACTTCGAAGTTTGTTTCTACTTTCAATGTTGCCTGAGATTAATATGAGGATTAAAAAGAGGAGGTCATGATAGAGGAGCCATGATCGAGACGCTGGGGCCACTCAAGGTTAACGTCTCGAAACGGATCGAGGGACTTAAGAGAAAGAGAGGGCTTCGAGAGAACCCTTAAAGGAGAGAGAGAGAGAGATTGGGGGAAGAGAGGCTTACGGAAGAGTGCTTAATGAAATGAGGGCCTGATAGAAAAGAGCGTAGAGAAGAGAGGATGTAGAGTGCGTAGGGGAAAGAGAGCTTTAGAGACGGGAGGCTGAGAGAACAGAGATTATAAGAGAGGGGGGATAAGAGAAAGATTAAAGGAGAGGGAAAGTGTCTAAGGAAGAGAGGTTTGGGAGAGAGGGGTCTTAGGAGATAGAGGCATAGGAAAAATGGGAGCACAGGGGAGTGGCCTTAGGGAAGAAGGGGAGCCCAAAGAGCACCAAGTTGAAAGGTACAGTGACAGCAACAATGAAAGCAAAGACACTGTATTGTGCCTTTTAATTCTTTCCGAACAAGCCTTTCTTTGGGACAAAATTTTGCTGTCTGAAAAACTACTTTGAGGAAAACGTCGCCCCACATAAATGCTGTTCCTACAAGCTTCTATTTCCATGTGCACTGCAGAAGGCCTCCTCAGTCTCACTCTTAAAGCTCCAAGCACAACTGGCTACCAGTGAAATTTAAGGAATAATGGTGGCTAGTGTTGAGAACAGTCTGTTATCAGTTAATGGTTCCTGGGATCATCTACCCAGCAACCTGAACTCATACGAGGCCTCATAAATTGCAAAAGAATATTACAAGAATTACTATTAAACACAATAATGTAAATATGATTATATAAGTTTTCCTGACATATAAGTTCACGAGACAAAGAAAACACCAGTAATCCTGCCAAAGTATAAAACGTTTAACAGACTTCCGCGTTATACTCATATTATTATTCGTGGAGAAGCGCTAAACCCGTGGAAATCATACAAAACCTAGGGACTGGGAGGGAATAAGCTTAATCCAAGGGAAGGTAGCTCCAATTCCTTGGAACAAAAGCCTGGAAGAGTGAATGTGTGTAAAATGCAGGCACCTACGTCTTGGAGGCGAAGTAGATGAGGTCGACAAAGCTGGAGTAGCGGAAAGCGTTGATTTCTCTGATACTCTTCCTGACGCTCTTATTGCGGATGACGACGGCGGGGCGGGGTCCTGCTGCCCCTCCGTAACGAGAACCACTCCTCCTGAGATGGCCTGCCATACTGCCACAGCTTCACCACCAACTCACTCATAACCTCCAACACAACCCATCACCATGAGTACCAACATTCCTTCACTCCATGGTAGCTCCACTACACTCACTTCACTACAAAGATGACCTACAATGGTCACCTGCTCACAAAGAATGGTTACCTGCCCACAAAAATGACCCTTTCCACAAGAAAGAGTGAACTGCCTTCAAGAGGTGGTGGGTATGCAAGCACGAGGGCAGTACGCGCTCACAAAGATGACTTGTCCACAAGGGTCACCTACCGAAAAGAACGATCGCCTGTCTACAATTGCCAGGAAAAAATCACTTGCCCACAAGAAAAAGTTGGTAGGAAGACAAGGGATTTAAGTGCCTACAAGGATCAGTGGGTGATGCAGGTACGAGGAGGGCAGTACGTGCCCCATCACCTTGCAAGTCACACTAAGGCGAGCGAGTTGGTGCTCACAATCAGAGTAAGTCTTGGCCCCACAACCGGCGTGCCATTGGCTACACTATCTCGCTGCTGCCACCCCACCCGCTCACACCCAAAACAATCTCACTCGGGTTGCTTACACCACACCAGATGCTCAAAGCTTTCCTCGCTCCAACACAACACATGAAGCTCCGATACACTTCTGAGACGGCCCCGTTTGGGCACTGATTAAATAAATGCAGCTGACGCCAGTAAGAGCTAGGGTAGACTCTTTGAGAGCAGCATTACCCCCAGTCTCCTATGTAACCTTCCATATAAAGACCACTGTGTTGGACCTGTGCTCCCCTTCCCTGGATTGAACCTTAATACCTACTATTTCCCCAAGAACTGTATGACCCCTACGAGTTTAGCGCTTCCCCATGAATGTAACATAATACTCTATCAGTGCTCCTAGCGCCATATGGGACACTCCGCCTGTCATGTCGAGTCATCCATATCCAACGCACGTCACTCGTACAACCAATCCTCATACACAACATCCGCTTCGCAGGCCTCAGTATCCGTGCCAGTGATGTAACACCTTATGAATTTCTGTGCTTTGCTTCCATCGACAGAGAACATTTCTTCACCACGAAGTCTACGGCTGCGCGCATTAATCTTACAGATGTTAATGCAAGCTAAAATTCTGTCTTGGTCTTAGCCAAGGTCAAGTGAGTCACTTGCCCGCATGCGCATCCTCAAACATGTATTCAAGCATATACAATTTAAATAGAAGATATTTATAACTCTAATTTTTAAAAGGGTGGACCAGTAAGCCAGCGGAAGGCCTCGGTCAGATGATCAAAACATCCAGCAGCGGGTCATCATATGACCAAGACCCGCGTCAGGAAACACTAGTCCTGTTTCCTGACAAACCTTACTTATCCAGTTTAAATTATGTTGGTTTATTAGTTAGGGTGAATCGCCCAACACGAATCGTTCATAAAATGACCCATTCATTACTACTGGCAACAATCACTGGACCCTTTAAAAATGTTAATAAATCGAAGGCAACAGTCACGTACATATGGCCAGAAGTAGCACCACAGAGCTTCACTACGATACCAGAGCCTAACAAAACAGTCTGGGGTCTCAAACATCTACTTAAGTTTTCCACAAATGAGATTACGCAAAGGGAAACGGAACTAGCATTACATTTTATATACCAAGCATCAGACACTAAAAACATGGGAAATAAGAACATAAGAACATAAGAAAGGAGGAACACTGCAGCAGGCCTGTTGGCCCATACTAGGCAGGTCCTTTACAATTCATCCCACTAACAAAACATTTGCCCAACCCAATTTTCAATGCCACCCAAGAAATAAGCTCTGATGTGAAAGTCCCACTCAAATCCAACCCCTCCCACACATGTTACTATCCAACTTTAAATTTGCTACAAGTCCCAGCCACAATAACCCAACTAGGTAGACTGTTCACTCATCAATACCCTTTTCCAAACAATACTTTCCTATGTCCTTTCAGAATCTAATTTTATCTAATTTAAATCCATTACTGCGGGGTTCTCTCTTGGAATGACACCTCAAACCCTTATAATATCCCATTTATTAATACCTATCTTCCACTTTACACTTCTATCAGTCTCCCTCATTCTTCGTCTACAATGGAATTAACTTAAGAGTCTTCAATCTTTCTTCATAGGAAGATTTCTAATGCATATGTAATTATCCATCCCATGCTGAATGTTTTCTAACAATTTATGTCCATTCTGATAATTATGGGGAACCAAACTGAGCTGCATAATCTAGTGAGGCCTTACACAATGATGTATAAAGCTGCAGTATGACCTCTGGATGGAAATAAATGGTATAAAATACCGACACAATGGCAATATAAACACAAATGAATGTAGGGAGACTGTGCGAAAGCAGTCGTATAAGTAAAACATGGCGTGAAAGAAGACAAACTTGTCAGTGTTCAGGAATAGCATGAAAGACAAACTGGTTTGTGTCCAGAATCGCGTGAAAGAAGACAAAACGGTCTAATGTCTAGGAAGCTTCACTGTCCAACTTCTTCTTCCTTATTTTCAAAGTCATCACCACAACAAAGGTACACTGGTGCACAATCCCCTCAAGGGTGGTTCCTTGACGCTGGTGAGGGGCACTTGATCTAGGGAATTGGATCTGTGCTCCGGTTCCCTGAACTGACCCTGAATCCCCCCTACAGGTGCTGTATAATCCCTACGGGTTTAGCGCTCCCTCATGTTTATAATACAATGCACAATGAATTACATGATCAACATAGTTTACCATATGGCAACATGCCAATGAATTAACACGATCTATGACCCCCTTAAATGCCCCTTCATTCCCCTACACTTTTAATTCCTTATAGATAATTATGATAAAAACGGGGAAGCGCTTAACTCATACGGGCCACACAGCGCTTGAGGACTGTGAAGTAACCAGGTTTAATCATTGCATCAAGAGCCCTTCACCAGCATCATGAAACTCCTTCCCATGAAGGGCCTTACAGTCAGAGACGTTCGCAAATGTTGATCATTAGACTGACAACTCGTTTGAGGAAATGAAGGGGGGGGGGTACTTGGGTTATGAAGGGAATATTCATAGTTACAACCACAGGGTAGTAGTAGTGGGCGTATGCACGCACGTGTGCGTCCACTACTTCCTTCCCTCCTGTAGTACCATTGTATGCATTTGTGGTTAAAGTAGAGGCTAGGCTTTGGCCCTACTGCTACACTGACCATTACCGTGGTTCACTTAACAACCAGTAGATACCAAGGAGTTAGTTGATTGTGGAAAGACACTTATACAGTTCAGGACATTTATTAAAGGAAACGTTTCGCCACGAGTGGCTTCAACAGTCCTAATTAGGAAAGGTAGTCACTGGTGGCGAAGAGTTTCCTTTATATTATTAAAAAACGTCCTGAATAGTACACAAGTGTTTTTCCACAGCGTATCGGTATCACCATACTATTTACATGCAGGAAGTTGACTGTTTTGAGTCGTATCTTTTCGGTTGACTCAAGAACTCTAATATAATCAAGATAATCCCAATATGCCATTCACCATGGCATATTGGGATTATCTTGAACTAACCCTCCGGGATTAATAGTAATCTAAATTCTTATTCCATTCCCATCTAACATGGAGCCTATCATACAGAGTCTTACAGTCTTGACAATGAGTGGTAACACCTCGTTCAGCTCTTTTGGGACGAGTTTTGCTAGGAAGACATGTCGATGGATGAAACAGCATTTACGAGTACTGGGGCACGGTTCATAACAAGATCTGCCATTATTATTAATTATTATTATTGGACAAACGTTAAACCTGTAAGGACATACAGGATATTGGAAATAGATGGCAATCAATTCGATCTAGGGGAAGACAGGTTCAATTCCTTGATCAAGAGCCCCCTCACAAGGAAGAGCTAAACCCGTAAGGATCAAGAGCTCTTCACCAGCATCAAAGCACCCCTTCCCTCTGACGGGTACAATATCTTTAGATTCTAAATGATCACCAATCATTGCAAGAGCAGCACCATCAATGCAGAATTTTTTTTGATGGCATAATAGATTTCAACTCCTAATTGCTGTAATGTGAACACTGTATGTTTGCTATCCTCCCAGTGAACAGTAGGAAATGATTAGCCTCAATCAGAATACTGACTTCATTCCCGGGCCTGACGAGACGTATGGCCAAATCTTATATGGGTGCCTAGCAGTAGACAGGCAGCTGTGTTAATGAACTAGTGGCTACATCCTGGTCGTCGCGAAATGGGGGCTTTATAACGAGCTGAAGTAGGATAACAACTCAGCCTGTAAACAGACATACAATGATGAAAATCTCTTGTCTTTTTTCTTGTCGATGAGAAGAAATGGATTACTTTTAGTTTGTCCAACTAAATTACCCGAAATTTAATACTGCTATTCTTGCCATCGATCCTCCATAGACAAGAGTTAAATACAAAGCTTAGACGAAGTAAAAAAGGCTTCCCTCTACCCAAAATAGGACATTCACCAGCCAAGACTGTTGGTGAATAGAGCAAGTACAATGCTGAACAATCTCTGGTCAGACAAAATTAACCTGTCTCAGGAACAACATACATTAGAAAAACTGACAATGATATTTGCCTGATAAAAATCAGGTGTTACATGTGTCTTATATGTCAATCATTAATGTAATAAGACTAAGAACTATAAACAAATTTTCTTCTGAAAATCTATGAAAAACCTTTCTAGGAGAATAATCTTACGATTTTTATGTATTATCACTCGCTATGTGACCGCCAATATAGTTTCAGAAAAGGTTTTACCGCAGCTAACTTGCTAACCACCTCCTTATGTGACACAAGCCACTGAAAAAAAATCCGAGGTCAACTGTTTAGTTGATCTGGATACTGTAAAAAGGTGCCTGTGGCCGGGTATAGCACCGGAGCTTCCTGGCAAAAATACAAGCACTAGGAATCTCTGCCTCCACTCTACACCTGAGTGACTTCCTTCAAGGTCGCCTCTTGGAAAGATTCTTAATGCAAGTGTTACCCACTTAACCGGTGCTAGCACACCTCGAGCGAGTGTACTTGGTTCTTTCAGAGCTACAGAATGTCTACCCAATGACCTACTAAACCTTACATCCTCTAAGCCTAACCCAATGCCAGACTTCCATTTTGACTACTTAGTCAACCAGGTTGTTGGTGCTAGTGACCCCGCATGCACTTGGCAGGAGGTAGTGGTCCAGTTTTCTCTTGAAAACTTCCACCTTTGTTACAGCAATATTTCTGTTATTTGCCAGAAGCAGGTTGAGTCTAGGGCCATAAACTGGCATCCCCACTTTTCACTGAGTTTATTCTAACAATGTTCTTCAATTCTAACCATACCCCCGGCCGGGATTGAACCCGCGGTCATAGTCTCAAAACTCCAGCCCGTCGCGTTAGCCACTAGACCAGCTAGCCACAATAAGATTCATCCAACTAGGTATATTTCTACCTAGTTGGATGAATTACGATTTCTTGAGTCATGTTCTTCAATTCTACTCGTGTTAT